GTCTGTGTTAGACAATGGAATGTGTGTTCCATGGCTGTGTCTATGTTAGACAATGGAATGTGTGTTCAATGGTTGTGTCTGTGTTAGACAATGGAATGTGTGTTCCATGGTTGTGTCTGTGTTAGACAATGGAATGTGTGTTCCATGGTTGTATGTGTTAGACAATGGAATGTGTCTTCCATGGTTGTGTCTGTGTTAGGTGAGGTGAGGTGTATGTTCCATGGGTTTAACGACAGGCTTGAGACTATGTTCCATGGTTGTGTCTGTCAAATGAACGTATGTTCCATGGTTGTGTATGTGTTAGACAATGGAAATGCTTGTACTAGCCCAGACTTAAGCTGGTTTATAGTGCTAGCCCAATGAGATACCATGTGTCCGTTAGACAAGTGAAGCATGAATACCCCACTCAGACACAATATAATGTATGTTCCATGACCAGTCCTTGTTGTTACCCATTAATGGAAAGCCAGGCAGGGGTTGTGTGTCTGTGTTAGACAATCATGTTTAACGCATGGTTGGTATGACAATGGAATGTATGTTCCATGGTTGTCTTGTTGACAATGGAATGTATGTTCCATGGTTGTGTCTGTGTTAGACAATGGAATGTATGTTCCATGGTTGTGTCTGTGTTAGACAATGGAATGTATGTTCCATGGTTGTTTAGACATTGAATGTGTGTCCTGTTGTTGTTAGACAATGGAATGTGTGTCCCATGGTTGTGTCTGTGTTAGACAATGGAATGTGTGTCCCATGGTTGTGTCTGTGTTAGACAATGGAATGTATGTTCCATGGTTGTGTCTGTGTTAGACAAAGGAACGTATGTTGTGTCAAGTTAGACAATTGTGTCTGTGTTTTCCCTGGTTGTGTCTGTGTTGTTAGACAATGGAATGTATGTTCCATGGTTGTGTCTGTGTTAGACAATTGAATGTATGTTCCATGGTTGTGTCTGTGTTTTACAATGGAATGTTTGTCCCATGGTTGTGTCTGTGTTAGACAATGGAATGTATGTTCCAAGGTTATGTCTGTGTTAGACAATGGAATGTATGTTCCCAGGTTGTGTCTGTGTTAGACAATTGAATGTATGTTCCATGGTTGTGTCTATGTAAGACAATGGAATGTGTGTTCCATGGTTGTGTCTGTGTTAGACAATGGAATGTATGTTCCATGGTTGTGTCTGTGTTAGACAATGGAATGTATGTTCCATGGTTGTGTCTGTGTTAGACAATGGAATGTATGTTCCATGGTTGTGTCTATGTTAGACAATTGAATGTATGTTCCATGGTTGTGTCTGTGTTAGACAATGGAATGTATGTTCCATGGTTGTGTCTGTGTTAGACAATGGAATGTATGTTCCAAGGTTGTCTCTGTGTTAGACAATGGCATGTATGTTCCATGGCTGTGTCTATGTTAGACAATGAAATGTTTGTCCCATGGTTGTGTCTGTGTTAGACAATGAGATGTATGTTCCATGGTTGTGTCTGTGTTAGACAATGAAATGTATGTTCCATGGTTGTGTCTGTGTTAGACACTAGAATTTGTGTTCCATGGCTGTGTCTGTGTTAGACAATGGAATGTGTGTTCCATGGTTGTGTCTGTGTTAGATAATGGAATTTGTGTTCCATGGTTGTGTCTGTGTTAGACAATGGAATTTGTGTTCCATGGTTGTGTCTGTGTTAGAGAATGGAATGTGTGTTCCATGGTTGTGTCTGTGTTAGACAATTGAATGTATGTTCCATGGTTGTGTCTGTGTTAGACAATGGCATGTATGTTCCATGGTTGTGTCTGTGTTAGACAATGGCATGTATGTTCCAAGGTTGTGTCTGTGTTAGACAATGGAATGTATGTTCCATAGTTGTGTCTGTGTTAGACAATGGAATTTGTGTTCCATGGCTGTGTCTATGTTAGACAATGGAATGTATGCTCCATGGTTGTGTCTATGTTAGACAATGGAATGTGTGTTCCACAGATGTGTCTGTGTTAGACAATGGAATGTGTGTTCTTCCATGGCTGTGTCTGTGTTAGACAATGGAATGTATGTTCCATGGTTGTGTCTGTGTTAGACAATGGAATGTGTGTTCCATGGTTGTGTCTTTGTTAGACAATGGAATGTATGTTCCATGGTTGTGTCTGTGTTAGACAATGGAAAGTGTGTTCCATGGCTGTGTCTATGTTAGACAATGGAATGTGTGTTCAATGGTTGTGTCTGTGTTAGACAATGGAATGTGTGTCTCATGGTTGTGTCTGTGTTAGACAATGGAATGTGTGTTCCATGGTTGTATGTGTTAGACAATGGAATGTGTCTTCCATGGTTGTGTCTGTGTTAGGTGAGGTGAGGTGAAATTGGGTTTAACGTCGTGCTTGAGACTATTTCTCTCAAATGACGACGTGCATGCGTGTGTATGTGTATGTGCGGCTGCTTGTACTAGCCCAGACTTAAGCTGGTTTTATAGTGCTAGCCCACTGAGATACCATGCCGCAGTGAAGCATGAATACCCCACTCAGACACATTATACTGACTCCGAGCTGACCAGTCCTTGTTGTACCCATTAATGCCAAGAGCCAGGCAGGGAACAACAAGTACCATATTTTAACGTCTTTTGGTATGACGCGGTCGGGGATCGAACCTGCGACCTTCCGCTCTCTGGGCGGTTGCTCTAACCACTACACCACGGAGGCGGTCCGTGTCTGTGTTAGACAATGGAATGTATGTTCCATTGTTGTGTCTGTGTTAGACAATGGAATGTGTGTCCCATGGTTGTGTCTGTGTTAGACAATGGAATGTGTGTCCCATGGTTGTGTCTGTGTTAGACAATGGAATGTATGTTCCATGGTTGTGTCTGTGTTAGACAAAGGAACGTATGTTCCAAGGTTGTGTCTGTGTGTTCCCTGGTTGTGTCTGTGTTAGACAATGGAATGTATGTTCCATGGTTGTGTCTGTGTTAGACAATTGAATGTATGTTCCATGGTTGTGTCTGTGTTAGACAATGGAATGTATGTTCCATGGTTGTGTCTGTGTTAGACAATTGAATGTATGTTCCATGGTTGTGTCTGTATTAGACAATGGAATGTGTGTCCCATGGTAGTCCTGGGGTTAGGCACTGGAATGTATGTATCCACCTTTCTTATTTCTTTCTGACTATGACTAATTCCTTTTGATTTTCTAAGATTGTGTAAAGTCTCTGTCAATTTCTAAACAGTTTTTGCAAAGGTTGCCAGCAAAACAATTCCCAACTGGACATTCTGTACATAACTCTTGAGACCCACAGCTGGTTCTCTTGAAGGGTCAGGTATAGGGGTCATGTACACCAGAAGGGTCAGGTAATAAGGGTTCAGAAACACCAGAAGGGTCAGGTAATAGAGGTCAGGTACACCAGAAGGGTCAGGTAATAGGGGTCAGGTACACCAGAAGGGTTGGGTAATAGGGGTTCAGTTACACCAGAAGGGTCAGGTAATAGGGGTCATGTACACCAGAAGGGTCAGGTAATAGGGGTCAGGTACACCAGAAGGGTCAGGAAATAGGGGGTTAGGTACACCAGAAGGGTCAGGTAATAGGGGTCAGGTACACCAGAAGGGTCAGGAAATAGGGGGTTAGGTACACCAGAAGGGTCAGGTAATAGGGGGTCAGGTACACCAGAAGGGTCAGGTAATAGGGGTCAGTTACACCAGAAGGGTTGGGTAATAGGGGTCAGGTACACCAGAAGGGTCAGGTAATTGGGGGTCAGGTACACCAGAAGGGTCAGGTAATAGAGGTTCAGGTACACCAGAAGGGTCAGGTAATAGGGTTTCAGGTACACCAGAAGGGTCAGGTAATAGGGGTTCAGGTACACCAGGAGGGTCAGGTAATAGGGGGTCAGTAACACCAGAAGGGTTATGTAATAGGGGTTCAGGTACACCAGAAGGGTCAGGTAATAGGGGTTCAGTTATACCAGAAGGGTCGGGTAATAGGGGTCAGGTACACCAGAAGGGTCAGGTAATAGGGGTCAGTTACACCAGAAGGGTCAGGTAATAGGGGTCAGGTACACCAGAAGGGTCAGGTAATAGGGGTTCAGAAACACCAGAAGGGACAGGTAATAGGGGTTCAGGTACACCAGAAGGGTCGGGTAATAGGGATTCAGGTACACCAGAAGGGACAGGTAATAAGGGTCAGGTACACTAGAGGGGTTGATATGAGTTCAGGCATTCTGGAAGTGTCAGACACTGTGAGTTCAAGTACTCTGAAAGGGTATATGGTAGCCATCGTTGTTTTCAAATAAAGAAGCCTCTAACAAACTTGTGGTGGCCATCACATCCAGCAAGTAACAGGTCTCTTGTGGGTTTTGAAAAAGTAGACTACTGACTATCATTTTCAAAATCAAATGAGACTGCCTGGTAGACATACTGAAATTCTGATATTGATTCCTATAACAAAGCTAAAGTCCCTTGTTGCAACACACATCCAGAACAAGATTCAGACACAAAGTTATAAAGTAAAGTGTTGTTTCAGGCAGAGACAGCCCAATACAAGATGGACAGCTGGCATTAAAGGTGACAGATACATTCTCACAAACCATGGCAGGCAAACCAAGAAACATAACTAGAGTAAAACTATGACTCCAACCCATTATGAAGGATTCTTGCAACCAAGATAAAACAGTGCACAGTGAATTGTGGTGTTTCAGATGACATTACCACTGGCACCTGTCATCCTTTGATATGGAGTGGAAGATTCTGACCCAGTACACACATAGACAACACAATTACATGCCAAGTCATAACCAACACTATGGTGGAAAGATTCACCTTCATCAACATACGACCCTTTACATGACTAAAATATGTAACACAAAGCGTTGGTTAATGACTGGGTGTTTGTGTAAACAGTGGGATTCAATACATTGTCAACATTCTTCTTTACAAAGTCCCTGCAAATTATGATCTACATTAATTTAATATACACAATCATGTTCTTGACATCAGATTGAACTTTTGCCTCACAGATGACTGAGTGATTAAATACACACCACATCTAAGTAAGGGTGTCCAGCCAGAATGGTGATCCCTCATGTTGACGTCTGCTCCATCATGTATCATCCAATCTATCAGCTTCACGTTGCCGCCATCAGCTGCCCAGTGTAGTGCAGTCGACCCTCCACGGTCAAAGTCATCGTACCTGGCGTTTGACTTACGCAGCAGTTTCACCACCTCCAGTTGACCAGTAAAACATGCAAGCATCAAACTGGAACAAGGACAACCAAAATATATATACAATGTTCAACTGCATCACATTGAAATTATTCATTTAGACCTTCTCTCCAATCCTGACCTTATAAAAATCATTTCCAAAAGCTTCACCCACTTACTTCACCCACTTACTGGGATACAGCTGACAATCATTTCAGTATACATGCTCAAATTGTGTAAAGTGGGGGTCATTATACGTCAAGTGAGGGTCATTATAGGTCAAGTGAGGGTCATTATAGGTCAAATGAGGGTCAATATAGGTCAAGTGAGGGTCATTATACATCAAGTGAGGGTCACTATACATGAAGTGAGGGTCATTATAGGTCAAGTGATGGTCATTATAGGTCAAGTGAGGGTCATTATACGTCAAGTGAGGGTCATGGTAGGTCAAGTGAGGGTCATTATTGGTCAAGTGAGGGTCATTACATGTCAAGTGAGTGTCATTATACGTCAAATGAGGGTCATTATAGGTCGACTGAGGGTCATTATACATCAAGTGAGGGTCATCATACGTCAAGTGAGGGTCATTATATGTCAAGTGAGGGCCATAATAGGTCAAGTAAGGGTCATTATACGTCAAGTGAGGGTCATTATACGTCAAGTGAGGGTCATTATACATCAAGTAAGGGCCATTACAGGTCAAGTGAGGGTCATTATACGTTAAGTGAGGGTCATTATAGGTCAAGTGAGGGTCATAATACGTCAAGTGAGGGCCATTATAGGTCAAGTGAAGGTCATTATAGGCCAAGTGAGAGTCATTATACATCAAGGGTCATTATAGGTCAAGTGAGGGTCATTATACGTCAAGTAAGGGCCATTATAGGTCAAGTGAGGGTCATTATACGTCAAGTAAGGGCCATTATAGGTCAAGTGAGGGTCATTATACGTCAAGTGAGGGCCATTATACATCAAGGGTCATTATAGGTCAAGTGAAGGTCATAATACGTCAAGTGAGGGCCATTATAGGTCAAGTGAAGGTCATTATAGGCCAAGTGAGAGTCATTATACATCAAGGGTCATTATATGTTAAGTGAGGGTCATTATTGGTCAAGTGAGGGCCATTATAGGTCAAGTGAGGGTCATTATAGGTCAAGTGAGGGTCATTATAGGTCAAGTGAGGGTCATTACACTTCAAGTAAGGGTCATTATACGTCAAGTGAGCGTCATTATACGTCAAGTGAGGGTCATTATAGGTCGATTTAGGGTCATTTTAGGTCAAGTGAGGGTCATTATACGTCAAGTGAAGTGAGGGTCATTATACGTCAAGTGAGGGTCATTATGGGTCAAGTGAGGGCCATTATAGGTCAAGTAAGGGTCATTATAGGTCAAGTGAGGGTCATTATACATCAAGGGTCATTATAGGTCAAGTGAGGGTCATTATACATCAAGGGTCATTATAGGTCAAGTGAGGGTCATTATAGGTCAAGTGAGGGTCAAGTGAGGGTCATTATAGGTCAAGTGAGGGACATTATAGGTCAAGTGAGGGACATTATAGGTCAAGTGAGGGTCATTATAGGTCAAGTGAGGGCCCATCACAGGTTAAGTCAGGGTCATTATACATCAAGTCAGAGGCATTATACGTCAAGTGAGGGTCATTATACAACAAGGGTGAAGACATTTATAGATCTATATAGGCTATGAAAGGGTGAAGACTGATATAGATCTGTATAGGCTATGAAAGGGTGAAGACAGTTATAGATCTATATAGACTATGAAAGGGTGAAGACAGTTATAGATCTATATAGGCTATGAAAGGGTGAAACATTTATAGATCTATATAGGCTATGAAAGGGTGAAGATTGTTATAGATCTACATAGGCTATGAAAGGGTGAAGACTGATATAGATCTATATAGACTATGAAAGGGTGAAGACAGTTATAGATCTATATAGGCTATGAAAGGGTGAAACATTTATAGATCTATATAGGCTATGAAAGGGTGAAGATTGTTATAGATCTATATAGGCTATGAAAGGGTGAAGACTGTTATAGATCTACATAGGGTCACCCTTATACAGAAGAGAATCTTGTTAACAGCTTGTCACTTGGACTAGTACATATTCCAACCATGCTTTGACTATATAAATTTGAGAGACAACAATTTACAGTATTTTTACCAAGTCAAAGTCTTGTATTGACCTTGTCATTTCAACCTTTCACAAGAACTTTACATACAAGACTATGTGTGTGGGTGGGTGGGTGCGTGTATGTGTGCGTGTGTGTGCATGCACAGGATCAAGTGGTCAGGCTCACTGACTCGGTTGACATGTCATCGTATCCCAATTGCGAGATTGATGCTCATGCTATTGATCACTTGATTGTATGGTCTAGACTCAAATATTTACAGACCGCAGCCATATAGCTGGAATATTGCTGAGAGTGGCGTTAAATAACAAACAAACCAATGCACTATACTCATTTCATTTCATTAACAAATTGTGTAAACTATTTGACACATAAAAGTTTGAACAGATAACCAATAATAAAGTGGGGCAATGACTGCATCAATAACAGTATATCACAGATTGCAGGAAATATTTGGGGAGAGTGTTCTGTCTTTGTCCTCTGCAGTCACATTAAAGGTTAAATGAGCTCTTAACATAGCTGAAAGACCGCCTCCGTGGTGTAGTGTTTAGAGTGTCCGCCCGGAGAGCGGAAGGTCGCGGGTTCGATCCCCGTCCGTGTCATACCAAAAAGAAGTTAAAATATGGTACTTGTTGGTCCCTGCCTGGCGCTCGGTATTAATGGGTACAACTAGGACTGGTCGGCTCGCAGTCAGTATAGTGTGTCTGAGTGGGGTTGGTATTCATGCTTTACTGCGGCATGGTATCTCAGTGGGCTAGTACTATAAACAACCAGCTTAAGTCTGGGCTAGTACAAGCAGCCGAACATACACATACACATGCATGCACATCGTCATATGAGCGAAATATTCTCAAGCACGACGTTAAACCCAATTTCACCTCACCATAACATAGCTCAACACTGATCGCTAGCTCTTGAGAAATAAAAAATAGACAATACTATCACTGATCTTGAAATGAAACATGCATTTTTTTTAATTGTAAAGGTAGCATTTCTGTAGGGAAACAACTAACAGAATATCATAAAGTACAGTGACTTTGTTACCCTGCACACAGGCAGGCATGATGGAGTTCACTAGGGTACACAATACAGCATCTGACCAATTCAGTGTTTGGCGCCATGTGTACTGTCTAATACCATCTATGGTAAATATCTTTAGTAATTCACCAGATATATTATGTGTATTGACATATACTTGTTGCAAGATTATTTTGATTCACATGGAAATGTGTATGATCAGTGTCCACTGCTGAGTTCATTGTGATAAAACAGTCAACAAGCTTACACATCTCTAAGCCCTAACTAACTGCATCTTGATTATTGTCATGGGCAGCTAAATATAATCCAGATTAGAGCTTGGAACAATTGACGAGGCTTACATGGAGTTACAATATAAACGGTCAGAGCATTTCCCAAAGGAACACTTTACAGAGCACTTTAACAGGTTTCAGCCATGTCTATTGCTATATGTTAAGACTGCACGACAGTTGTACAGGTATGACTAGTGTCTAATGGCAATAAGATACCAGCTCATTCAACATGTAAAGATTATTTGTTTGTTTTTAAAAATAATCCACTTCGCACATCTAGATTAGTAAAATATATTATTACTGTTTTGGATATGTTCTTTGAGTAAAATACATATTGTTAGTGTTTGAGGCTCACTGACTTGGTTGACACATGTCATCATATACCAGTTGTATAGATCAGTAGATTGTCTGGTCCAGACTTGATTATTTACAGACCACCGCCATATAGCTGGAATATTGCTGAAAGCGGCGTAAAACTAAACTCACTCACTCATGAATCCAGAACTGCTGCCTGCACTGATATTCACTATTTTCTAAATACTGAGGAGAAACCAACTCTAAATAGGCAGACATTTATGCCAATGTTCTGCTCCCTCAGTCTCTGAGAAGTTCAAAGAGTCAAATATGCATTTTGACAGAATTGTACAACATGGCAAAACAAGGTCAAATTTGTGTATAGATACACACAAAAAATCCACAACAAAACAAACATGATCAATCTCATGAGCTAAACATACATATTCAAAAATGGATTTCAGCATCATGAACAAATTCACGTCATGATTGGTTGGAACTAGCATCAGACATTTCAGCACCAACAGTCAAGAGGTTTCTGAAGAAAGACAACACTGAGAAATATAGTTCGGATGGTCTCTGAGTTTGGTCAGGTCAAATTTTTATATATTTTCCCCTACACCAACACACACACCCATACCCACTCACCCCACACACCCACCCATCCCACTTGCAAAATTCATCTACTATCAAACTCACATTGTGGATCCCTGAAAAGTTATCAGCAATAAAGTCGAGGGTGAAGAAAAATTCATGTTGAATGAGTTTTACAAAGAGATTGATGAAATCAGACCAATCAGTTACTTTGGAACCTCAATTACAGAAGGTCATCACAGAAGGATGTTTCAGGGTCACCGTGGAAACATGTGGAGCAGCTGATGATCTGGCTTTGAAATCATCAATTACCTTCATCCAATGGCCAGTGTGTGTGGAGATACCCAACCCTGGTGGAGGAGGCAGCCTTAGACGCTCACAGCCACAAATAACCATCACCACAAGGTTCTTAGAATATGCACACATATTTCCTTTCACAGATGTAAACTGATATAGACTTTAGAACAGATAGTCAAAACCCTTGTTTACATTTACAGGGTAAGATGCTACTCTAACCTTAATAGTCAGATATATCTAGTGTACCTCCCTTACGTAACTGGCCTGGGACCCGTTTCACAAAGCTCTCATAAGCCTAAGATCTTGTAGCATTCCTACCTCCTACACTGTAACATTGACTTACGACAGTCGTTGCACTACGAGAGCTTAGTGAAATGGGCCCTGAATTTCAACAGCAGAAATATGTCTACATCAAAGATTGCTAGATTAAAATAATTTGGATGACCTGTCAAGGTTTCCATTCAAAGTGAGACTATTTGACACTGATCATAAATAAAACAAGAGTAGATAATTATGTGTTAATGATTTATATGCAAAAGTCTAGTAGTACTGAATAATTCCATACATCAGACATTGCAGCTCCCACCTGCTGTGCATTACTGTAACCACTGTCTACAAACACTGAAAGCATAATCTCATTCTGAGGCTTCACTTTAAAAATATCCCATGTAACAATATCTGTTAATGACATGGATTAATATTTATTAGAACACTGTTTTGTATATTATTGCCAGCTGGAAGGTGAAGTTGGTGAAGCTAGTGAGTGAGTTTAGTTTACACCGCTTTTAGCAATATTCCAGGAATATCATGGCGGGGGGACACCAGAGATGGGCTTAACACATTGTACCCATATGGGGCATTGAACACAGGCCTTCAGAGTGACAAGCGAAAGCTTTTAACCACCAGGCTACCCTACCGACCCAAGTTGGTGAAGACGTGCATGACATCATCTATTACACAAGACACAGCAAGTCACAATTTCATTGCACACAGAAAAACCTTGCCTCTGGCAAACACATATATGCAAGATTTGAACGCAGAACATCCTCATTGGATGCGCAAAAATATACTTTCTGCATGATATTTATTCATAATTATCTTACAGTTTGTTTGAAATGTGCATCATTACTTACTGTGTTACTCCATGTCATGTCCAAGAATTCAAATTTGACATGTCAAAGTGTGATATAGCTGGTCTGTCACATAGAGAAACTCAGAATGTAATATGTTATCAAACACTGGTTAAAACGTCAAAACTACTCCAAACAATGTTGATGCCTTTTCCACTTGAACCTAGATAAACACTACATATTTTCCCTATGGCTTAAGGTAAATCCGTCTTCAAGAACAATCCACATAAAATCAAAATGGAAATACAGCTGAAAGCATCCCATGTGACACTTCTGTGACTATGTTTAAGGATAACAACTTCTTTACCAAACTGTTATAGCCATGTAGTATGTACTTCTATGTCGCTTGTATCTGGTTTGGACCAGACATATATTGAACAGCCGATATGAGTCATGCTTTAGAAGCTGTATCATTCCTATGTTCCCATCTAAACCAGCAAGGTGTATGTAGCAACACTTGAAAACTATTATGGTTCCAGGCTGGGGACCTTTGAAGAAATTACTAGTAAAGTAAATTATTACAAAAAAATAATGACAAGGTAAAATCTCACACTGAGTATCCAAGATTATATCAGAATATCTCTCAGCTAGATCATCAAATAATACAAGGGGATAATTCTTTTAAAGCATGTTTGAGGCATGTTAACTGATATGGTAAGAAGAGTGATGGTTTAACAGGCATGTACCCTGAGCAAAGTCAATGCACTCTGGAAATCTCTCCCCCAAAAAGAAACGCATTGGTGTATTTTCATGAATTTAATCTGTTAGCTATAAAATGAGTTAACACAACTAATGCTGGATCAGTTGCAACCAAATTTCACAGTATAAAAGATCAAATGTCTGTTAACAAAAGCTCAATAAGTGAAGGTGACCCAGTTGGGCATTTTCTTGAATATCTGTCGTGGCCACCATGAGCCCCCGAAACTACTCTGGACTGAATAAGTCTTTGAATTTGACCTTGTGGAATTCTGGCCATTCCTCTTGCAATGCCTGCGACAGTTGATCTAACATCTGGGGAACTGGTTGTCATACACATACGCGTGGTCAGCCACCTAGCCCGCTCAGCCACCAGTGGAAGCCTCGGTGGCTGGGTGGGTTAGATGTCTGACTTTGAGTGCTGGCGATATTCTAGGTGCCTGACTCTGAGGGTGTGGGTTTGAATCCCAGATGGGGCTCAACCCCAAAAAGTACTAGAAAAAAGTACAAGAATCTGTATTTTACTAACAAAAATGTAATCCCAAATGTAACATATGTTAAAGAAGTTGTTAATTGATAAACATTGTTCCTCAAAGAAGATGTTAAACTACACAAACACTAGAGAATCTAAACATGACAATTGGGCCCAATATGTCTATAAATTCAAGAGCTCACCCTGAATCTTTCTGGTAAATCATCTTCAGCTCAGATGGAAAATAGGTAAAGAAGAATACGTAAAAAACCCAGATTTCTACAGACTTCATCACTATCAGCCATCCCTGTGGACATGACACCTACTTCGGGGGTGATAACCCTTCCCTTGCCAATGTATACAGACTTCTTCACTATCAGCCATCCCTGTGGACATGACACCTACTTCGGGGGTGATAACCCTTCCCTTGCCCATGTACACAGACTTCTTCACTATCAGCCATCCCTGTGGACATGACACCTACTTCGGGGGTGATAACCCTTCCCTTGCCAATGTATACAGACTTCTTCACTATCAGCCATCCCTGTGGACATGACACCTACTTCGGGGGTGATAACCCTTCCCTTGCCAATGTCTACAGACTTCTTCACTATCAGCCATCCCTGTGGACATGACACCTACTTTGGGGGTGATAACCCTTCCCTTGCCAATGTATACAGACTTCTTCACTATCAGCCATCCCTGTGGACATGACACCTACTTTGGGGTGATAACCCTTCCCTTGCCAATGTCTACAGACTTCTTCACTATCAGCCATCCCTGTGGACATGACACCTACTTTGGGGGTGATAACCCTTCCCTTGCCAATGTATACAGACTTCTTCACCATCAGCCATCCCTGTGGACATGACACCTACTTCGGGGGTGATAACCCTTCCCTTGCCAATGTATACAGACTTCTTCACTATCAGCCATCCCTGTGGACATGACACCTACTTCTGGGGTGATAACCCTTCCCCTGTCAATGTCTACAGACTTCTTCACTATCAGCCATCCCTGTGGACATGACACCTACTTTGGGGGTGATAACCCTTCCCTTGCCAATGTATACAGACTTCTTCACTATCAGCCATCCCTGTGGACATGACACCTACTTATCCCTGTGGGGGTGATAACCCTTCCCATGCCAATGTATACAGACTTCTTCACTATCAGCCATCCCTGTGGACATGACACCTACTTTGGGGTGATAACCCTTCCCTTGCCAATGTATACAGACTTCTTCACTATCAGCCATCCCTGTGGACATGACACCTACTTCGGGGGTGATAACCCTTCCATTGCCAATGTATACAGACAAAGCAAGCCCTGATGTCACATTGAGGTGTATCGGTCTTTACTTCAGCGTAGTTAACTTGTCATAACTTACCATGTCTTGCCTGCATCAGTCTTTAGATGGATGTCGGCACCATGCTCTAGCAAGAGCTGGACTATACTGAAAATGATCAACGTGTAATAGATTAGACAACAAATACACACAGAGATTATTTAACAAAAACTTACAAGCAGTATCTGAAACATGGACAAAACCAACTTCTGTATCACACTCTACAGCCAGAACCAACTTCTGTATCACACTCTACAACCAGAACCAGCTTCTGTATCACACTCTACAACCAGAACCAGCTTCTGTATCACTCTCTACAACCAGAAACAGCTTCTGTATCACACTCTACAGCCAGAACCAGCTTCTGTATCACTCTCTACAACCAGAACCAGCTTCTGTATCACTCTCTACAAACAAAACCAACTTCTGTATCACTCTCTACAACCAGAACCAGCTTCTGTATCACGCTCTACAGCCAGAACCAGCTTCTGTATCACTCTCTACAACCAGAAACAGCTTCTGTATCACTCTCTACAACCAGAACCAGCTTCTGTATCACGCTCTACAGCCAGAACCAGCTTCTGTATCACACTCTACAGTCAGAACCAGCTTCTGTATCACACTCTACAGTCAGAACCAGCTTCTGTATCACTCTCTACAACCAGAACCAGCTTCTGTATCACGCTCTACAGCCAGAACCAGCTTCTGTATCACACTCTACAGTCAGAACCAGCTTCTGTATCACTCTCTACAACCAGAAACAGCTTCTGTATCACTCTCTACAGCCAGAACCAGCTTCTGTATCACACTCTACAGTCAGAACCAGCTTCTGTATCACTCTCTACAACCAGAACCAGCTTCTGTATCACTCTCTACAGCCAGAAGCAGCTTCTGTATCACACTCTACAACCAGAACCAGCTTCTGTATCACTCTCTACAGCCAGAACCAGCTTCTGTATCACACTCTACAAACAGAACCAGCTTCTGTATCACTCTCTACAACCAGAACCAGCTTCTGTATCACTCTCTACAACCAGAACCAGCTTCTGTATCACGCTCTACAAGAAACAGCTTCTGTATCACACTCTCCAACCAGAACCAGCTTCTGTATCACTCTCTACAACCAGAAACAGCTTCTGTATCACACTCTACAGTCAGAACCAGCTTCTGTATCACTCTCTACAACCAGAACCAGCTTCTGTATCACTCTCTACAACCAGAAACAGCTTCTGTATCACACTCTACAGCCAGAACCACCTTCTGTATCACTCTCTACAACCAGAACCAGCTTCTGTATCACACTCTACAACCAGAACCAGCTTCTGTATCACACTCTACAGTCAGAACCAGCTTCTGTATCACTCTCTACAACCAGAACCAGCTTCTGTATCACTCTCTACAACCAGAACCAGCTTCTGTATCACACTCTACAAACAGAACCAGCTTCTGTATCACGCTCTACAACCAGAACCAGCTTCTGTATCACACTCTACAACCAGAACCAGCTTCTGTATCACTCTCTACAACCAGAAACAGCTTCTGTATCACACTCTACAGCCAGAACCACCTTCTGTATCACTCTCTACAGCCAGAACCAGCTTCTGTATCACACTCTACAACCAGAACCAGCTTCTGTATCACACTCTACAACCAGAACCAGCTTCTGTATCACACTCTACAACCAGAACCAGCTTCTGTATCACTCTCTACAACCAGAACCAGCTTCTGTATCACACTCTACAGCCAGAACCACCTTCTGTATCACTCTCTACAACCAGAACCAGCTTCTGTATCACACTCTACAGCCAGAACCAGCTTCTGTATCACACTCTACAACCAGAACCAGCTTCTGTATCACACTCTACAGCCAGAACCAGCTTCTGTATCACTCTCTACAACCAGAACCAGCTTCTGTATCACGCTCTACAAGAAACAGCTTCTGTATCACACTCTCCAACCAGAACCAGCTTCTGTATCACTCTCTACAACCAGAAACAGCTTCTGTATCACACTCTACAGCCAGAACCAACTTCTGTATCACTCTCTACAACCAGAACCAGCTTCTGTATCACTCTCTACAGCCAGAACCAGCTTCTGTATCACTCTCTACAACCAGAACCAGCTTCTGTATCACACTCTACAACCAGAACCAGCTTCTGTATCACACTCTACAACCAGAACCAGCTTCTGTATCACACTCTACAACCAGAACCAGCTTCTGTATCACTCTCTACAACCAGAACCAGCTTCTGTATCACTCTCTACAAGCCAAAACCAACTTCTGTATCACTCTCTACAACCAGCTTCTGTATCAAACAGCAGCTTCTGTATCACGCTCTACAGCCAGAACCAGCTTCTGTATCACTCTCTACAACCAGAAACAGCTTCTGTATCACTCTCTACAACCAGAACCAGCTTCTGTATCACGCTCTACAGCCAGAACCAGCTTCTGTATCACTCCTCTACAGTCAGAACCAGCTTCTGTATCACACTCTACAGTCAGAACCAGCTTCTGTATCACTCTCTACAACCAGAACCAGCTTCTGTATCATGCTTCTACAGCCAGAACCAGCTTCTGTATCACACTCTACAGTCAGAACCAGCTTCTGTATCACTCTCTACAACCAGAAACAGCTTCTGTATCACACTCTCTACAGCCAGAACCAGCTTCTGTATCACACTCTACAGCCAGAACCAGCTTCTGTATCACTCTCTACAACCAGAACCAGCTTCTGTATCACTCTCTACAGCCAGAACCAGCTTCTGTATCACACTCTACAACCAGAACCAGCTTCTGTATCACTCTCTACAGCCAGAACCAGCTTCTGTATCACACTCTACAAACAGAACCAGCTTCTGTATCACTCTCTACAACCAGAACCAGCTTCTGTATCACTCTCTACAACCAGAACCAGCTTCTGTATCACGCTCTACAAGAAACAGCTTCTGTATCACACTTTCCAACCAGAACCAGCTTCTGTATCACTCTCTACAACCAGAAACAGCTTCTGTATCACACCTCTACAGTCAGAACCAGCTTCTGTATCACTCTCTACAACCAGAACCAGCTTCTGTATCACTCTCTACAACCAGAAACAGCTTCTGTATCACACTCTACAGCCAGAACCACCTTCTGTCATCACTCTCTACAACCAGAACCAGCTTCTGTATCACACTCTACAACCAGAACCAGCTTCTGTATCACTCTCTACAGTCAGAACCAGCTTCTGTATCAATCTCTACAACCAGAACCAGCTTCTGTATCACACTTCACAACCAGAACCAGCTTCTGTATCACACTCTCTACAAACAGAACCAGCTTCTGTATCACAGAACCAGCTTCTACAACCAGAACCAGCTTCTGTATCACACAATAGAACCAGCTTCTCTACAACCAGAACCAGCTTCTGTATCACTCTACAACCAGAAACAGCTTCTGTATCACTCTCTACAACCACAGCTTCTGTACACTCTCTACAACCAGAACCAGCTTCTGTATCACTTCTACAGCCAGAACCAGCTTCTGTATCACACTCTACAACCAGAACCAGCTTCTGTATCACTTCTGTCTCTACAACCAGAACCAGCTTCTGTATCACTTCTCTACAACCAGAACCAGCTTCTGTATCACTCTCTACAACCAGAACCAGCTTCTGTATCACACTCTACAGCCAGAACCACCTTCTGTATCACACTCTCTACAACCAGAACCAGCTTCTGTATCACACTCTACTACAGCCAGAACCAGCTTCTGTATCACACTCTACAACCAGAACCAGCTTCTGTATCACACTCTACAGCCAGAACCAGCTTCTGTATCACTCTCTACAACCAGAACCAGCTTCTGTATCACACTTCTACAAGAAACAGCTTCTGTATCACTCTCTCCAACCAGAACCAGCTTCTGTATCACTCTCTACAACCAGAAACAGCTTCTGTATCACACTCTACAGCCAGAACCAACTTCTGTATCACTCTCTACAACCAGAACCAGCTTCTGTATCACTCTCTACAGCCAGAACCAGCTTCTGTATCACTCTCTACAACCAGAACCAGCTTCTGTATCACACTCTACAACCAGAACCAGCTTCTGTATCACACTCTACAACCAGAACCAGCTTCTGTATCACACTCTACAACCAGAACCAGCTTCTGTATCACTCTCTACAACCAGAACCAGCTTCTGTATCACTCTCTACAGCCAGAACCAGCTTCTGTATCACACTCTACAACCAGCTTCTGTATCACTCTCTACAGCCAGAAACAGCTTCTGTATCACTCTCTACAGCCAGAACCAGCTTCTGTATCACACCCTACAACCAGAACCAGCTTCTGTATCACACTCTACAACCAGAACCAGCTTCTGTATCACTCTCTACAACCAGAACCAGCTTCTGTATCACTCTCTACAACCAGAACCAGCTTCTGTATCACTCTCTACAACCAGAACCAGCTTCTGTATCACTCTCTACAGCCAGAACCAGCTTCTGTATCACACCCTACAACCAGAACCAGCTTCTGTATCACTCTCTACAACCAGAAACAGCTTCTGTATCACACTCTACAACCAGAAACAGCTTCTGTATCACTCTCTACAACCAGAACCAGCTTCTGTATCACTCTCTACAACCAGAACCAGCTTCTGTATCACTCTCTACACCCAGAACCAGCTTCTGTATCACTCTCTACAACCAGAAACAGCTTCTGTATCACACTCTACAGTCAGAACCAGCTTTTGTATCACTCTCTACAGCCAGAAGCAGCTTCTGTATCACACTCTACAACCAGAACCAGCTTCTGTATCACTCTCTACAACCAGAAACAGCTTCTGTATCACACTCTACAACCAGAACCAGCTTCTGTATCACTCTCTACAGTCAAAACCAGCTTTTGTATCACACTCTACAACCAGAACCAGCTTCTGTATCACACTCTACAGCCAGAACCAGCTTCTGTATCACTCTCTACAACCAGAAACAGCTTCTGTATCACTCTCTACAACCAGAACCAGCTTCTGTATCACTCTCTACAACCAGAACCAGCTTCTGTATCACAGCTTCTGTATCACTCTCTACAACCAGAACCAGCTTCTGTATCACTCTCTACAACCAGAACCAGCTTCTGTATCACTCTCTACAACCAGAACCAGCTTCTGTATCACTCTCTACAACCAGAACCAGCTTCTGTATCACTCTCTACAACCAGATCCAGCTTCTGTATCACTCTCTACAACCAGAAACAGCTTCTGTATCACTCTCTACAACCAGAACCAGCTTCTGTATCACTCTCTACAGCCAGAACCAGCTTCTATATCACGCTCTACAACCAGAACCAGCTTCTGTATCACTCTCTACAACCAGAAACAGCTTCTGTATCACTGTGGTTCTGAACAGGGTCTGTTTTGTGGTGGCCCAGGACAAAGTTCAAAACCAGGTTCTGTGTCATGGTTCACAACAAGGTTCTGTGTCATGGTTCACAGCCAGGCTCTGTTCTGTGTCATGGTTCACAACCAGGCTCTGTTCTGTGTCATGGTTCACAGCTAGGTTCTGTGTCATGGTTCACAGCCAGGCTCTGTTCTGTGTCATGGTTCATGGTTGACAGCTAGGCTCTGTTCTGTGTCATGGTTCACAGCTAGGCTCTGTGTCATGGTTCACAACCAGGGTCTGTGTCATGGTTCACAGCTAGGCTCTGTTCTGTGTCATGGTTCACAGCCAGGCTCTGTTCTGTGTCATGGTTCACAACAAGGTTCTGTGTCATGGTTCACAGCTAGGCTCTGTGTCATGGTTCACAACCAGGTTCTGTGTCATGGTTCACAGCCAGGCTCTGTTCTGTGTCATGGTTCACAACAAGGTTCTGTGTCATGGTTCACAGCTAGGCTCTGTTCTGTGTCATGGTTCACAGCTAGGCTCTGTTCTGTGTCATGGTTCACAGCTAGGCTCTGTTCTGTGTCATGGTTCACAACAAGGTTCTGTGTCATGGTTCACAACAAGGTTCTGTGTCATGGTTCACAGCTAGGCTCTGTTCTGTGTCATGGTTCACAACCAGGTTCTGTGTCATGGTTCACAGCTAGGCTCTGTTCTGTGTCATGGTTCACAGCTAGGCTCTGTTCTGTGTCATGGTTCACAACAAGTTCTGTTCTGTGTCATGGTTCACAACAAGGTTCTGTGTCATGGTTCACAGCTAGGCTCTGTTCTGTGTCATGGTTCACAGCTAGGCTCTGTTCTGTGTCATGGTTCACAACAAGGTTCTGTTCTGTGTCATGGTTCACAGCTAGGCTCTGTGTCATGGTTCACAACAAGGTTCTGTTCTGTGTCATGGTTCACAGCTAGGCTCTGTTCTGTGTCATGGTTCACAGCTAGGCTCTGTTCTGTGTCATGGTTCACAGCTAGGCTCTGTTCTGTGTCATGGTTCACAACAAGGTTCTGTGTCATGGTTCACAGCTAGGCTCTGTTCTGTGTCATGGTTCACAGCTAGGCTCTGTTCTGTGTCATGGTTCACAACCAGGTTCTGTGTCATGGTTCACAGCTAGGCTCTGTTCTGTGTCATGGTTCACAGCCAGGCTCTGTTCTGTGTCATGGTTCACAACCAGGGTCTGTTCTGTGTCATGGTTCACAGCTAGGCTCTGTTCTGTGTCATGGTTCACAGCCAGGCTCTGTTCTGTGTCATGGTTCACAACCAGGTTCTGTGTCATGGTTCACAGCTAGGCTCTGTTCTGTGTCATGGTTCACAGCTAGGCTCTGTTCTGTGTCATGGTTCACAACAAGGTTCTGTGTCATGGTTCACAGCTAGGCTCTGTTCTGTGTCATGGTTCACAGCTAGGCTCTGTTCTGTGTCATGGTTCACAACAAGGTTCTGTGTCATGGTTCACAGCTAGGCTCTGTTCTGTGTCATGGTTCACAGCTAGGCTCTGTTCTGTGTCATGGTTCACAGCTAGGCTCTGTTCTGTGTCATGGTTCACAACAAGGCTCTGTTCTGTGTCATGGTTCAGCAGCCAGGCTCTGTTCTGTGTAATGGTTCACAGGTAGCCTCTGTTCTGTGTCATGGTTCACAACAAGGTTCTGTGTCATGTTCTGTGTCATGGTTCACAGCTAGGCTCTGTTCTGTGTCATGGTTCACAACAAGGTTCTGTGTCATGGTTCACAGCCAGGCTCTGTTCTGTGTCATGGTTCACAGCTAGGCTCTGTTCTGTGTCATGGTTCACAGGAAGCCTCTGTTCTGTGTCATGGTTCACAGCTAGGCTCTGTTCTGTGTCATGGTTCACAACCAGGTTCTGTGTCATGGTTCACAGCTAGGCTCTGTTCTGTGTCATGGTTCACAGCTAGGCTCTGTTCTGTGTCATGGTTCACAACCAGGTTCTGTGTCATGGTTCACAGCTAGGCTCTGTTCTGTGTCATGGTTCACAGCTAGGCTCTGTTCTGTGTCATGGTTCACAACAAGGTTCTGTGTCATGGTTCACAGCTAGGCTCTGTTCTGTGTCATGGTTCACAGGAAGCCTCTGTTCTGTGTCATGGTTCACAACCAGGTTCTGTGTCATGGTTCACAGCTAGGCTCTGTTCTGTGTCATGGTTCACAGCTAGAATTCTGTGTCATGGTTCACAGGTAGCCTCTGTTCTGTGTCATGGTTCACAGCTAGGCTCTGTTCTGTGTCATGGTTCACAGCCAGGCTCTGTTCTGTGTCATGGTTCACAACCAGGTGTTCTGTGTCATGGTTCACAGCTAGGCTCTGTTCTGTGTCATGGTTCACAGCCAGGCTCTGTTCTGTGTCATGGTTCACAACAAGGTTCTGTGTCATGGTTCACAGCCAGGCTCTGTTCTGTGTCATGGTTCACAACCAGGTTCTGTGTCATGGTTCACAGCTAGGCTCTGTTCTGTGTCATGGTTCACAGCCAGGCTCTGTTCTGTGTCATGGTTCACAACAAGGTTCTGTGTCATGGTTCACAGCCAGGCTCTGTTCTGTGTCATGGTTCACAACAAGGTTCTGTGTCATGGTTCACAGCCAGGCTCTGTTCTGTGTCATGGTTCACAACAAGGTTCTGTGTCATGGTTCACAGCTAGGCTCTGTGTCATGGTTCACAGCCAGGCTCTGTTCTGTGTCATGGTTCACAGCCAGGCTCTGTTCTGTGTCATGGTTCACAACCAGGTTCTGTGTCATGGTTCACAGCTAGGCTCTGTTCTGTGTCATGGTTCACAGCCAGGCTCTGTTCTGTGTCATGGTTCACAACAAGGTTCTGTGTCATGGTTCACAACAAGGTTCTGTGTCATGGTTCACAGCCAGGCTCTGTGTCATGGTTCACAGCCAGGCTCTGTTCTGTGTCATGGTTCACAGCTAGGCTCTGTTCTGTGTCATGGTTCACAGCCAGGCTCTGTTCTGTGTCATGGTTCACAACAAGGTTCTGTGTCATGGTTCACAACAAGGTTCTGTGTCATGGTTCACAACAAGGTTCTGTGTCATGGTTCACAGCCAGGCTCTGTTCTGTGTCATGGTTCACAGCCAGGCTCTGTTCTGTGTCATGGTTCACAACAAGGTTCTGTGTCATGGTTCACAACCAGGTTCTGTGTCATGGTTCACAGGTAGCCTCTGTTCTGTGTCATGGTTCACAACAAGGTTCTGTGTCATGGTTCACAACCAGGTTCTGTGTCATGGTTCACAGCCAGGCTCTGTTCTGTGTCATGGTTCACAACCAGGTTCTGTGTCATGGTTCACAGCTAGGCTCTGTTCTGTGTCATGGTTCACAACCAGGATCTGTCCTGTGTCATGGTTCATGGTTCACAGATAGGCTCTCTCTCTCTTTTGCTCTCTCTCTCTCTCTCACAATTGTTCATAACTGTCTATTCATTAATTGCTTTTTATTCGGTTAGTTTATATGTTCAAATTTTGCTTACTCCAGCAAACCTTTCTGGGAAGCCTGCATCAGGGCGCTGAAGCCATATTTGTCCGGCACGTCTACAGACACATCTCTGCAAAATCAACAAAGAACATATCTCGTATTATTGACAGTGGAAAGATTTTGAAGCATCTATATGACTCATCCCTTAATATTTATAGTTGTCATGAATTATGACATATACATAGAGACAGTAACTTGAAAATCTAGACTAACTACCTTTCTGGTGAAATAAAGCCACTTACATAAGACACATATATTCACCACAGAATGCTTTAATGCATAAAGAAAACTATTCCAAAGCAGCTGCTAAGTGATGTTTTTATCTTATAGGTTAACTACAGTATCATCCTGGAAACTTAACCCCTGACATGACTCATAATGATAGTATCAAAATTATTTCCAGGAGCTAAAAATGCACTCGAATGCAAAAGTTTGTTATTGTATTCTGCAGTGCAGTTGCATGCACTCCCTGAAGCAGTTGTGAGTAATTCATGAATATTCAGGAGATATCTGCCCGTCTTTATGGCACTAATCAGGAGTTTTATGGGTCTACTGCTCAGTCAACACATGGCTGACATTAGCAGAACTCTCTCATGAAATCAGGCGAAAAAATCTGAATATATGCTGCTACACTGGGAATGGATTGTAGGTAATGGTGACATTTCTGTATTACTAGAGCTGTCCACTAATATTCTTTGGACATAAACATTTTGTTCATGATCAGTTTGCAATTGTCACTAGCCTTATGTATATGTACATGGGTATAGCAGTTCTATAAGTACCACAAGAAATATGTGTAAAATACCTGATGTACAGAAAAAAAAACACATGGAGAGACAGTGTGGAAGTGCATTGCTCCCACTAACCTCTCTAAGTGGCATGTTAGAAGTCGGGATGTTCAATAACGTCAAACTTTATGGTCAACAACTCCTTCTATTTAGTAAGCGTGTACACTTTGTTCCAACATAGCTAGTATATATACATATTTGTACTCGACATTTGTGCTTCAATTCCTATGTTATTTAATTAAAACCAACCATTGAATATACATCCTTCTGTGTGTACCATATGCAGCTTGTTATGTAACAGTTGGACATTCAACATGAGAGCTGAATGTTTGGACTTGAATGTCCTGAAATCACTAGTCAGTTGTCAGCGCATGCAGGTAGTTTCCTGTCAGTGTTTCACCTGTATGTTTCGTTGTGTGCAAACAATAGAACTGATGACTAAGCTAACAGTAAGATGTTTGTGTGTGGAAATAAATCTTTCAGGATTTTTCTTACTTTGCTGTAACACTGCAACAAGCCTTAGAGCATGTTTAGTCTCGTTACAGAATGTGTTTCATTACAACAAGCCTTAGAGCATGTTTAGTCTCGTTACAGAATGTGTTTCACAACAAGCCTTAGAGCATGTTTAGTCTCGTTACAGAATGTGTTTCACTACAACAAGCCTTAGAGCATGTTTAGTCTCGTTACAGAATGTGTTTCACTACAACAAGCCTTAGAGCATGTTTAGTCTCGTAACAGAATGTGTTTCACTACAACAAGCCTTAGAGCATGTTTAGTCTCGTTACAGAATGTGTTTCACTACAACAAGCCTTAGAGCATGTTTAGTCTCGTAACAGAATGTGTTTCACTACAACAAGCCTTAGAGCATGTTTAGTCTCGTACAACAAGCCTTAGACATGAATGTGTTTCACTACAACAAGCCTTAGAGCATGTTTAGTCTCGTAACAGAATGTGTTTCACTACAACAAGCCTTAGAGCATGTTTAGTCTCGTTACAGAATGTGTTTCACTACAACAAGCCTTAGAGCATGTTTAGTCTCGTTACAGAATGTGTTTCACTACAACAAGCCTTAGAGCATGTTCAGAACAGAATGTGTTTCACTCTTAGAGCATGTTTAGTCTCAGTTACAGAATGTGTTTCACTACAACAAGCCTTAGAGCATGTTTAGTCTCAGTAACAGAATGTGTTTCACTACAACAAGCCAGCATGTTTAGTCTCAGAACAGAATGTGTTTCACTACAACAAGCCTTAGAGCATGTTTAGTCTACAACAAGTAACAGAATGTGTTTCACTACAACAAGCCTTAGAGCATGTTTAGTCTCTAGTTAACAGAATGTGTTTCACTACAACAAGCCTTAGAGCATGTTTAGTCTCGTAACAGAATGTGTTTCACTACAACAAGCCTTAGAGCATGTTTAGTCTCGTAACAGAATGTGTTTCACTACAACAAGCCTTAGAGCATGTTTAGTCTCGTTACAGAATGTGTTTCACTACAACAAGCCTTAGAGCATGTTTAGTCTCGTTACAGAATGTGTTTCACTACAACAAGCCTTAGAGCATGTTTAGTCTCGTATCAGAATGTGTTTTACAGAATATAATATGTTTTCACTATACAGAAGTTTCCCTAATCAAGCTAAGAGCATGTTTAGTCTCATTACAGAATGAAATGTCTTTCACTATAACAAGCCTAATCTTGCTAAGAGCATGTTTAGTGTCTCAGAAATGTGCTTCACTACAACAAGGTTTAGAATAGTCCTTACATGTAACAAGCCTAATCTTGCTAAGAGCATGTTTTAGCATGTTTCGTCTCATACAGAAGGTAATTTCCTACATACAACAAGCCTAATCTTGCTAAGAGCATGTTTTGTCTAATTATACAAGGTAATTTAATACATGTAACAAGCCTAATCTTGCTAAGAGCATGTTTTGTGTAACTATACAGGGTAATTTAATACATGTAACAAGCCTAATCTTGCTAAGAGCATGTTTTGTCTCGTTATACAAGGTAATTTCCTACATGTAACAAGCCTAATCTTGCTAAGAGCATGTTTTGTCTAGTTATACAAGGTAATTTCCTACATGTAACAAGCCTAATCTTGCTAAGAGCATGTTTTGTCTCGTTATACAAGGTAATTTCCTACATGTAACAAGCCTAATCTTGCTAAGAGCATGTTTTGTCTCAGTTATACAAGGTAATTTCCTACATGTAACAAGCCTAATCTTGCTAAGAGCATGTTTTGTCTCAAAGCCTATACAAGGTAATTTAATACATGTAACAAGCCTAATCTTGCTAAGAGCATGTTTTGTCTCATTATACAAGGTAATTTCTACATGTAACAAGCCTAATCTTGCTAAGAGCATGTTTTGTCTCGTTATACAAGGTAATTTCCTACATGTAACAAGCCTAATCTTGCTAAGAGCATGTTTTGTCTCACTTATACAAGGTAATTTAATACATGTAACAAGCCTAATCTTGCTAAGAGCATGTTTTGTCTCACTATACAAGGTAATTTCCTACATGTAACAAGCCTAATCTTGCTAAGAGCACATAACAAGGTGTTCCTACATGTAACAAGCCTAATCTTGCTACAAGAGCATGTTTTGTGTAACTATACAAGGTAATTTCCTACATGTAACAAGCCTAATCTTGCTAAGAGCATGTTTTGTCTCGTTATACAAGGTAATTTCCTACATGTAACAAGCCTAATCTGCTAAGAGCATGTTTTGTCTCGTTATACAAGGTAATTTCCTACATGTAACAAGCCTAATCTTGCTAAGAGCATGTTTTGTGTCTCAATTATACAAGGTAATTTCCTACATGTAACAAGCCTTAATCTTGCTAAGAGCATGTTTTGTCTCATATACAAGGTAATTCTCTACATGTAACAAGCCTAATCTTGCTAAGAGCATGTTTTGTCTCGTTATACAAGGTAATTTAATACATGTAACAAGCCTAATCTTGCTAAGAGCATGTTTTGTCTCGTTATACAAGGTAATTTCCTACATGTAACAAGCCTAATCTTGCTAAGAGCATGTTTTGTCTCGTTATACAAGGTAATTTCCTACATGTAACAAGCCTAATCTTGCTAAGAGCATGTTTTTTGTCTCGTTATACAAGGTAATTTCCTACATGTAACAAGCCTAATCTTGCTAAGAGCATGTTTTGTCTCGTTATACAAGGTAATTTCCTACATGTAACAAGCCTAATCTTGCTAAGAGCATGTTTTGTCTCGTTATACAATCTTGCTAAGAGCATGTTTTGTCTCGTTATACAAGGTAATTTCCTACATGTAACAAGCCTAATCTTGCTAAGAGCATGTTTTGTCTCGTTATACAAGGTAATTTCCTACATGTAACAAGCCCTAATCTTGCTAAGAGCATGTTTTGTCTCGTTATACAAGGTAATTTCCTACATGTAACAAGCCTAATCTTGCTAAGAGCATGTTTTGTCTTGTGTCTAAGCATGTACAAGGTAATTTCCTGCTAATACAAGGTAATTTCCACATGTAACAAGCCTAATCTTGCTAAGAGCATGTTTTGTCTCATTATACAAGGTAATTTCCTACATGTAACAAGCCTAATCTTGCTAAGAGCATGTTTTGTCTGTTATACAAGGTAATTTCCTACATGTAACAAGCCTAATCTTGCTAAGAGCATGTTTTGTCTGCTATATTATACAAGGTAAGAGCATTTCCTACATGTAACAAGCCTAATCTTGCTAAGAGCATGTTTTGTCTCGTTATACAAGGTAATTTCTACATGTAACAAGCCTAATCTTGCTAAGAGCATGTTTTGTCTCTCGTTATACAAGGTAATTTCCTACATGTAACAAGCCTAATCTTGCTAAGAGCATGTTTTGTCTCGTTATACAAGGTAATTTCCTACATGTAACAAGCCTAATCTTGCTAAGAGCATGTTTTGTGTAACTATACAAGGTAATTTCCTACATGTAACAAGCCTAATCTTGCTAAGAGCATGTTTTGTCTCGTTATACAAGGTAATTTCCTACATGTAACAAGCCTAATCTTGCTAAGAGCATGTTTTGTCTCGATTATACAAGGTAATTTCCTACATGTAACAAGCCTAATCTTGCTAAGAGCATGTTTTGTCTCGTTATACAAGGTAATTTCCTACATGTAACAAGCCTAATCTTGCTAAGAGCATGTTTTGTCTGTAAATTATACAAGGTAATTTAATACATGTAACAAGCCTAATCTTGCTAAGAGCATGTTTTGTCTGTAACTATACAAGGTAATTTCCTACATGTAACAAGCCTAATCTT